AGATGTGAAGACGAGAAGATTACTGGCATCTTCTGAAATTGATCTACAGTGCTCCCTAGAAATGCAGATGAATGTGAGGTGACTGTCATGCGTGTGAACGTATGTAGAACGAAAAGCCAAGTGCTTTCTCGTTCTCCTGTCCGTTGCTCTCTTCAGATTAACGGAGAGGCAGTGGAGCAGGTGGAGAAATTCAAATACATCGGAACTGTACTTAGAGGTGTTGGAAAACTGAAGGAAGGGATCGAACGACGAACTGGAGTAGCCAGCGTTCTGCGTAAACTAGCTCGACCCATTGTGACTAAAGAGGTCGGTCTGAAAACTAAGCTTTCGGTGTTCAAGTCGATCTTTATCCCTATGCTTGCTTACGGTCATGAATCGTGGACCATCACTGAAAAACTTCGAACTCAGGTACAGGCTGCTGAAATGGGCTTTCTTGGACGAGTCGCTGGCCTTACGCGTCTCGACATAGTCCGGAATACTGATATCCGGGAGAATCTTGGTGTACAGTCTCTGCTTCTCCAGATTGAGAGGCCACAGCTGCAATGGTCTGGGAATGTCTTGCGAATGTCTCTAGAAAGGAATGCTAAGCAACTGTTTCTTGCCAAACTGTCCCGCAGAAGGCCCAGGGGCGGCCAAGATTAACCTGCTACAAATGTATGGAAGGTGTCTGTTCCAGACTCAAGTTGCCTTCTGCCGAAACTCAGACTCTGGCACAGGAACGTTGGAAGCTCTGTCTTACGCGTCCGCCTCCGGGATTCGAGAGGAGAAGCGGTCATGGAATATGAAGATTAGTATTTTGAGGAGTAACATGTACCATGCGAAGAAACTTTGTGAGAACGATTAAACATTACAAATCTATAACTTAAAATTGTTATTTCATGTTTCTCAGTTTACTACTGAAACAGTTTAGCACTGATTCACGAAAAGCACGATTACAATGATCATCAGTATTCTTCTATCTCAATGGAAAAAGTTAGAAGCGGGCAGTCAGGCTTAATGGAATTTTCTTCTGTATTTTGGATGAGGAGTCTGGGGCAACTGAGTTTTAGGTTTGGCTGAAGATAGGGCGAAAGAGCTGGGGGTTAGCTGTCTCAAATAATTGGTCGGTTATCTACATCATATAATTTGGTGAGGAGAAAAGACGACGTCAAAACTGATGATGAATGGCATGGATTTAGGTTGAAAGAAATTCTCTGTTTGGGAAGCACGTACACAAGAAATAGAATGAATCATAAATGTGCCGTAAAAAATATCAATATTGCTTGGCAAGAGCTGACAGGCTATACTGAAAGGTGGACTTTAGTCCGCGGTGCTTTGTGCAATGGGATGTCGGTTTTTCATTGTCATGCTTAACCATAATCTTTTTCCCCTTCGTTATTTGAATTTCGTAGTGTTGTGCAAGCGCCCATCATTAATAGGCGCATAGGCTACTAAAGTATCTTGTTCTTTTTTACCCCAGCGTGTTTTCTTAAACAGGGGTCCGTTAATCGAGCCAACAGCCTCTAGGGTTTTCAGTCTTGGAATAAATCTTCGGTCACTCTCACAGTATATCATTCTTGACGAAATCTCGTCACCTTTCCTTTGATATTCCTCTTCTTATTTTCCTGGCAGTACCAGTATTTCGGTTACATTTCCAATGTGCTCGATGGGCCTTGTTTTCTCGTGACCGATGGAACGAAACATGCTTTCGTAAACCTTTTCTGCAATTGGTACTACGCCTGAGTGTTTGTCATTAAGCTGTTGATAAACTACATGGGGATGTGGACTATGAATATATTATGTGAATAATAGATGGACGTCTTGTCTGCTATGATGGTACCCACCGGGATATTGTTCGTGTCAATCTGCAGAGTCATGTAAAGCACGGGTCCTAGTGGGAATTAATGTTCGGCCTCAGGACCATACTTCTTTTACTTAGCCTAGCCCTGAAGATGTCATTTCTCAGTAGCAAAACGCGTTAGCAATAAGCTGTTGTACCGTCTGTTGTATTTGGTGCGATGAATCACAAATCACTAAAACACCTATCCATATAACTATGGGCCCAGAATCAAAAACCTGAAGTATTATTTATTCCTAATGCTTTTGTTGAGGATGTTTAATGGTAGTGCCTACCTTCTGTTCTGATATGGTCACTCAGTCTCATAAAAAAAAGTTTTTGAATTTTACTGGCTAATTAATTAATTACTACTGACATGATTATGCATTACTGCTGTTATTCAGCTAAACTGTTATTTGCTTACAGAGTCGCAGTTGACAGGAAGACAGCTAATTAATTATCTTGAATTGGGGGTAATTCTAAAGTGACAGACGATGTGAAAGAATTTGTCACATTGCGCCAAAACGTTCTTTACAACGAATCACCGTAAGCAGCTTGTTAGCTTAGTCTCATCAACATTGAAAACGAAATTAAAATACAAAATAGACACAACTACAACTAATTGCACAAAAATACAACTAAACAGGATATTATGGGTTTACTAGCAAATTGCTAGTTTTGATGCCGTCTTTAAGAATAATGCAATTCTTTGTATTTCGATTTAACACCGATACTCGTACCGTCCCCTCTGCAGATACCATCTACTTGTATTGTCGACCTAGCACAACCAATTAATTTCAAAAACTTACAGGTCAAACGCGTTTATGGTAGCCGGATCTGCCACGAATTCGAATTCCTGAGGCGGCTCTTTTGGAATAAATTCAGACGCTTTCACGGCCTCTTGAACTTTCTGAGGAGCCACAGGAGCCGCAGGCCGCGGAATCGAGCACTCTACCGCCTTTCCCTCGACAAATTCACGCACCTTGTGCTGGTAATATGTGTGGTACGGGTCATTAGAGTTCAAAAAATTGAACTTCGGGTTGTTGATTTCATGCTGTCGAATGCGAGTTTCGAATTCACCTCCATTCCTAGCCACAAAACTGGCGGTTTTGTCAACAATATCTTAAAAATGCATAAGCAGGTGAAACTGGCAAACTTGTAAATTACAACTAATTATAATATTATGCTAGTTACACAGTACGACACATTTATAACAATCATGAAGCTACTACCTGTATACTGCATAAGCGCAAAATTCTTTGAAAACGGCGTATGGTTCTACATCTTTTAATAAATGTTTAGGGGGTAGACAAGTGAGCACCTGTCCGCGCTATATGCATTCTGAATTGTTCTACTGTACACAGTAATGCTCCTTACCAGTGATGTTGCCGCTAACCAACGGTGCTTCAAGAAGCGGTTTCCATATATGGTATTAAATCATATAACGAATTACTCCTTCAAGACCAGATTGCACAGCATATTCCACCGCCTCCTTGTTCTTAGCTGCATAGAGGAGATATTTAAGCAAATTACGGATAAATGGTACTTTAGCGCCTGCAAGAACCACCTCGCCCTCATCACGAAAGATATTTCTGGAGCTGGTACTCCTTATATGCAACAACAAAACCATCATAAACTGTTCGTACACCCCATTATGGAAAATAACGAGTTTATCATCCAAGACCACATTTCACGTTGCATGCCGCCGCCCCCTTGTGGTTATGGGGGTCGTGGCCTGCACAAACAGATACGGGCGTGCGAACAGCTCATGGTGTCTACAAAAAATGTTAAGAAATACAACTGTAACTGTATACTTATAAACAATGATACAGTCGTTTTAGAGCTTCATATATCAAACAGTCATTAACATTAGAGTAATAGCGAGAAAATTCGTAACAGTTAAGAAAATACTTCTAATTTCCGGCGGCGGATAAATAATGCCAACGATCGGCTTGCCACTTTTTGACTCTGCTGTTTGTGGTTCAACATCGACCGACTGGGTCACATCCATAGGTATCGCGACGGGTGGCATTTTTAAAATTTAAACCTAAAAATCAAATGGGATTTCACATGTTCAGTGAATACGGAACATAGCGAAAATATGAAGTTTGAATGCACAAATGCGTATTGTCAGATTTACTGTAGCTTTTTTCTTTAAATTTATCAATTCATTCAAGGAAGTAGTTCAAAATTTTAATAATCAGCATTTAAGATATTTGAGTCATTACAAAGTTACTGAAAAAAAATAAATTAGAAGACAGCTTATTACCTATTAGACCGTAATATCTTTCATTTGTTCATTCAACTTCAAAACCGAATATACCTCTTTGGTAGCGGGGG